GGAAGATAGTGTGCTTGAGAAAAAATAACAAGGGAACAAACCTTAACATTCGTCCTATTCAATACTTTCTTGTTCTCATCATATGCTGAACATATTTTCTGAAACTGGTTCAAAGTTTACGTCTTTTTTCATCTGTAGGAGTAATGCTTGAGGAAAAATGGCGTGCAATATCTGACTTTTAGAAACTGACATCGTTTATAAATCTCCACCATATCATGTAACATTACAGAGAAGCCACTTGACTGGAAGACTATCGACCTCAAGAAGATGCGGGTGAAGGAGCTGAAAAATATCCTCAGCGAATGGGGAGAGGTAATATCTCGTGACCAGATTCTGCTATCTCTAGTTAATAAAATCTTTTCAGGCTTGCAAGGGCTGCACCGAAAAATCAGAGTTTGTCAAGAAGATCGAGGAGCTCAAGCCAAAATACGTCAGAGAAGAGTTGTAATTCACCACACAAATCAGGGTTTTCCATTCGTTTGCTGCCGATTGTCAACGGCGCATTTATATGCATCTCATGGTGTTCAGTCGTGTGGGTGCGGAGTCCCGTTTTTTACGGGATAGTTCTGTGCATTCTGGAACATCATCCAAGTTGTTGAGGCGTGTAATTTATTTAGGGGGTTATTTATTTTCTCTGTTACATCGTTTTCATTGTGATATATCTAGCTATTATTGCGATAGCGTCCAAAATTACTTGTTGTTAGGCTCTTTCAATTGCCTTATGTTTTTTGGTCTGTTTTATAATAATGTGGCGTAATAAATAGTTCAATGAGTGTTTTACCTGAGAAGATGCGGTATGTCTCCCAACTTATCTCTAAAGTCGATCGAAAGCGAAGGAAGGTTGGCTTTATCAAAATATGAGTCATCATGCTGCCTGCCATTGGATTACAATGTTCTCGAAACATGCTGAGAGTAGAAAGCGATCTGCTTCCGCTGTCTCCACGTTGGATTACAACTTCCACCATTTGGAAGGCTGTGTGTGCTGCCAAAAAAGGAACTGCATTTACCACTGTTCTCTTGCTCGTCTCAAGTTGATTTATAATCTTACTAGATGGCTGGAATAGAACAACAATCAAAGTAATGGTAGGATGACTCAGTCAAAGCTATGAAGGTGGAAGAGTGAGATTTCATGAAACGATGACTCATTTGAGATTGTTGTTCGCTCAAGTCATGTTTCTGCTTGCACATGGGCTTTTTGGTATAAATAGGCTTGAGTATTCAGGAATAGAGTGTAGAGATAAAGGGCGAAGATGGCTGGTGCATTACCGCGACGAATTATCAAAGAAACACAAAGGCTTATGGCTGATCCAGTACCTGGTATATCGGCTAGTCCTGATGATAACAATGCACGGTATGTTCGCAGAGTCTTCCTGAACCTTAGAAAAGTATGGATTTATTTCCTTTCTTAGATACTTCCATGTGATGATCGCAGGACCACAAGATTCGCCATTTGCTGGTGGTGTATTCAAGCTAGAACTATTCTTGCCAGAGGAGTATCCAATGGCTGCTCCCAAGGTGATTTGATGCATACATTTTGATATCTTTTTTTGGTGAATACTTGATCCTGAGCAATGCGTTAGCTCATAACTTTGCAATTTTTTAGAGCCAGATAAAGCGTGTTATTGCTAACATTGATTGCTC